TCGCTGAGAGTATATAGATTCCCATTGATGCACCGACAAAAGCGGCCACCACTGTTGTCGCCCGGGAGTCCGAGCATGGGGCTTCGGTGCTAGCGACCTCGCGGCCCGTTAGTAAACACGCCATTTCGTGGCCGAGCACGCATTGTGCAGCAAGAGCTATATTTAGGTACGCCGGCGCCTACTTTTTGGCGGCGCTTGAGGTGAATGGCTGCGCAACCACGACCTGGCTTTTGCTTGCGCGTGCCGAGCCGGTCAATGGCGGCGAATTTTGGACCACATCCAGGGAGGAAGTGTTCTTGCACCTCGACGTATTTCGCCCATCGATGCTCTTCAGCGCAGATACGTCACCTTGTCGCGCTCGTTATCCCCCGGAAACCACGCGGAACATTTTTTCGAACGGTATACATCGTTTTCAAGTGCCGTTTGTGGGAGAGGTTTTGTTTCGGATGATTGCAACCTCTCATAGATTTTTCGCAGGCTCACGATCTTTTGATCCTTTACTGTCCTTCTCCCAGCGCAGGGTAGCAAACCATACGCGGGTCTGGTTGGCCTCCCTGCCTTTTTCTCCTCACCCCTGTGAGTCGAGCAAAACGTTGACGTCCGGTATAATTTTTCAGTGACGGAACATCGTTGATGACGCTATAGTGTTTTGAATAGGGTGCGTGTCAGATAATGCATGGAACAATGTGCTGTTGGTATCACTGTAACCATAGTGCTTATTCGAACTTAATAGCTTGCTCTACGCTACCCACGAGACGTTCAATCAATCATCTTACGAGGCCCGGGGTAGTTATGTCGCATTAAAGGTGCGGCGAAACAGTTCGTTTTCCTCACGTCGTTTACCTTAACATAGATATCCCTACGTATCGATGGCGTCATAAGCCAACTGAAATAATTTCAAGTGGTCGCACTGCAAGCCAACTATTCGAAAAAGCCCAACATGTTTAGCTTGCCTCCGGGCAGAGATGGGCCCTCAGCAGAGTGAATGCCGCCAAAGGCTCACCGCGTCTGCATACCATGACTGAGAGAGGACGCACGAGAATAAGTAGAAAGGGGGGGAGGGGGTACTTCAATGCCGGCACCGGCAGCTTTGGTAAAACTTGTTGAGTTGGTGCACTCTGCAAGCAAATTATACGACACAAACCACCGCAAAAGAATAGGCGACGCTCTTTTCTTTCGCCTATTCTTCTCGGGGGTTTGCGTGCTCTGGTTCTCCCGCAGCTTTACTCCTCCACCGTCCTCGTCAAACAAACAAACAGAGAAAAGGGTTGTTTATGGCCAAAAGCGCCGCCACTTCACAATTTTCCAAGAATTTCTGGAAAGTTGCCCTCCCCTGATGTCCATCGCATAAACATAATTCACATCTGTGGAACACCGGGGTCACGAAATCATACTTTTCTTATTTTTAAGTACGAGATCTCACTGACATAATTAGGGCACTCGGTAAGATCAAAGTGATGGTCGCGCGGTATCGCAAGCGTCAATCAAGCCAGTTTAGCTGTCGCAGAACCACCGTGACTGCGCGGAAAGCTCAGCACTCCGACGAAGTTAGTTTCAAGTTCCCAGGGTTCTTTACGGAAAAGGGAGAACAGGTAACCGTGCCCGTGTCGAATGCGAGTAGGGTGAAGAAGGAAAGGCTGACAAAGGCGGCCGGCTTTCGGCGACAGCGGTCTCACGGTACGACTTTCCGTGGCCACTCTGTAGCTTTTGTGTCGCGTTCGGCGAAGTATACACGTTTTGATCTCAACTACCAATACTGTGACAACGAAGCGTAATTAAGCAAAAAAAAAACTAAGACATGGACATGTTGTCCACGAATATTGGAAGGGCGCGAGCGTTCTTGCTATGGTATTTCTGAATCTGATGGGAACCGTCAGGAGCTCGCACTACACCCCTTAGGACGGTGCCATGCCTCGAGCACTTTCACGGCGAAATTCGTTCCCTGACCCTCAATGCAGACGCAAAAAAGGGGAAAAAAATCAAATGAAGTGGAAGACCCAAAGAAAGATCGGGGCTTAAATGTCGTTGGCGATTCAGCGACGTTCTTTGTTCTATACCACTTCAACATGCGGTCCTTGAAGACAGAAAGCAATCGACACCGTCGTTCTTTCCATTCAGTGACAGGAAACACGTGGTTTTAATGAATGACACATTTCGCGCTGGTTCGCATTTATTGAATGCAAATATTAATCGGTACTGCTGCTAAGCGAACGAGAAACTCTAACTAGAGCACATCCTTCTTCAGCACTTGTTCAATATACACTTTGCAAACATTAATCTACCATGCAGCTCAGGTGAAACTCAGCTTTGCCTGACGATAGTTATAGCGCGAGAATAGAACGACGCGCTATAACTACCGTCATACCATAGCAACTAGCCCAAACTGCCACACTTCTCAACTTTAACCACATAGCCGCGTCAGACTGCTGGCACAGGTGGAACGGTCAGGGCTCGTCGAAGGGAGAGACAGTTTCCCGCGGCAGACGCAGTTACACGGCGAGTCCCTGTATGACCACGAGCACCAGAGTCGAAGGTTGCTTACGCGAGATGCAAGAGAAAATTTGCGTCCTCGTTAATTCAGTTCGCCGCTTTAGAAGACACGTGTTGAAAGAACAGTTCATACACGAGAAGCCGGCCAGTGATGAACAGTTCTCGCAGATATTTGCAACAGTGTTACTGCGCATGCGCGAATAAATACATTTTCCAGCCAAATAACCTCACGCGCATGCTTATAAGCGTCGTTTAAAGTTAAAAAAGTCCTTCTCATAACGGAGCACGGCATAGCGTCCTTTATGGGAAACCCAGCACTTCCTGGATTGGAGGTGGACTCTCACCGTCTAACCACAGTTGTGGTTATTCCATTCAACACGCGTCCCTGCTTTTGCCTACTTTGGTTTGTCCTTTTTTCACAGTGAACCGCAAGTAGAAAAGAAGCAACGAATTGAAAGAGCACTTGAGCTTACTATGAGGCGCGATGTTCCAGCGGTAACTTATTGAATAACGTATACGCGGCAGTCTGGAACCTTTGCGGAAAAGTGGAGGGGTGAACACACTAAGAGGGACAGTACTTTTTAACAAAAGTTTGCGCTGGAAAATGTCTTTGCGAGAAAGCGAACGTGTCAATTATTTTGAAAATTGTCCATTCAACCTCGGAACAAGCTATAGCTTATCGAGGACACTGTGTCACTTGACGAGGCGGAGAATGGCATTGATTTTGAGTGAGCGCATCGAAAACGACCGAGCCTGGTTGTTTGCGCTTTTATCTATCTCTCTTAAAAAGTGTGTTTCTATTTTTTTAATTTCTATAGCGGCGGAGTTAGTATTGCTTTGTTCTAAACAAATTTTCTCCTAGAAAACTAGTAAGCGTCGCCTCTTCACCGTCATTTGTCAAGCTACCTAAATTCGTGGAAGTAGTTGAACCTTGAAACGAGACGTATAATCAAGCTATTACGAAAGTGTTTTTTCTTCCTACAGAGCTCCTTGAAGCCACATGCATTGCTGAACATACCTTCACTGCTAATATTCGCCCTGTGCTGCCTTCCCATATCTTTTTTAACACATAACTTAGCGCTCATATATATAGCATTCGTAAGGCACACAACCTGCATAAACTATACAGATGGACGTTCGATCATGCGACTACAGTGTTCATAATAAACTTAAGAACAGTGACATATTGTGCTGGTAGTGTATTCTCGCTCTTATTTCTTAAACTTGCAATCTCTCGTTTGGCGCTGAAGTATAACGCTGCACCAGTAGCAGGCTATATACGCACTGTCATGCTCCCCACTCACATATTATCCTCATCGTTATGTTTCAAAAAACCCTCGGCAGCAGAGCAAAGGCTAATGCACGCGACGCTTCTGAGAAGTGCGACCGCGTGCCACTCAGATTTCCGGCAAGTATCGAAAATCCCTCGGCTCATTGAGGCGACATTTAGCTCGTCCCGGCGACTTGCGAGGCACACACACAGCTAGCGCAGGCGGAACGAATTGCAGGGAAGGCACATGCTATGGCCCTGTTTGTTAATACAGTAGCGGATGATAATCTGGAGCTATAATGAACATTATTGGGCCTACATGTCAAGTTAAGAACAACAGTTTAAGAGAGAACACTGTACTGACACCACTGTTTCATCCGACACCACAACGGAATGCCACAGAGACAAGGGCGAATACATTACATCTGCAGGAAAACTGGACCAGTGCTTGGATAATGGTTTCTCCAATTTGATCTAAGAAACATACATGATTCCGTGGTTAACTGTCCAGGTAAATGCAGCAGACAGCTATAGAGACGACAGCGCATGCCGCGTGGTGATACAGTCCGCTGCTGATGATTGCCACGTGAAATGGTTGCTATGCAGTTCGCGATTAGGTCGATGCGGCGCTTTCGGCACGAAACGTAATCTGCTGGCAACGTAGTTTGCGCGCGAAATTTAGCACTTCTCCGTTTCGTTCTCGCTAAAGTCGAAGTCACGCGGGGATGGCGCCACGCCCCCTTCCTCGGCAGACAGAAATCGCGCGCCGCATCCGAGGGCGGGAGATTCGCCCGGCCGTGGCGACAGCCGTGGTGCACGGAAAGTGACTGCCCTCCCTGACAAGCCGGCGGTTTCTCCGAATGCCTTTTCGTGCGTGGGCCGCTTGCAGCGCGTCCTTAGCAGCGAGATGGGTCGCTAATATCGTCGAGCTAATAGCATTCTCCGAACGCAGTGATAGGAGCATCTCTCATGCATCTGGGTCTTCGAAGAAGCCTGGCGGTCTGCCAGCAGCTGGTGCTGCTCATTACGCGTATGGTGGGCCGCCGGTCGGTTGCACGATGAGAACGCACAGCGGTCGCTGACACGCTTTCTAGTCCGTCGAAGGACGACCGACGGACTTCGAAGCCGTCGGTGTCCCAACGCCGAGGCACCCGCGAGTCGGTTCCTCGCGTGCGCCTCGGTGTTGAAGCCCCATGCACATACACTACACAGACACTGACGATGGCACACCGGTACTCACAAATCGACGCTTGGCCTTGTCGGCTTCCTCGCTGGCGACCCGGGCGCGGTTGGCCACTGCGTCCAGCATGTTGCGTACGTCCTGCGGGCTCAGGTGGTCCGCGTGTCCCCTGGCGTCGTCGGGCAGGTTGCACGGATTGACCCAGAGCGGGTGATCGCTGCTGTCTCCGGTCCGCGAAACGGGAGCACTCATCGTGGAGTGGAACAGCACGGCGAGCACTGTGACCCAGGTCCGGGTATCTGCAGGTACGAGACGACACACCGTTCGGTGGGGCAACCAGCTGGGCCGCTCGGAGCCCCAGCATGGATCCTTCCGAACACGCGCTACTCTCGATTTCATGCTTCCATGACGCTTATCTCAAACAAATGGCGTGCATGTTTCCCGCAACTTGTTCATAAAAAGATAAGGGGCCATTTTCCCTCCCCTCCGCCCCGGATGTGGATATGACGTAGGGGCGAGCAGCCGTCATTGGACGGTCCCCCTCAGGTGCGCCGGCCGATTGGCTCCTCGCCCGTGCAAGACCGCCCCGCACGTGGGCGGCGAACCTTCGAAAGAAGAGCGCGATTTTTTCCCCGTAGGTGTGTTCAATGAGCCCGCGCGCGCGTTGCCGACACCAGCGCCGCGCACGGACCGCCGGGGCTCCACGGCCGCAGAAGGCCGCGCGCCGCCGTGCGCGCTGGACGCGCAACAGGTGTGGGACGTCCCGGGAAGCCCCCCGACGGATTCTGCTGGATTCCCGCCGTGTGAGTTCCGGGAAGCATTTCAATAAAGTTGCTTCTGCCGTATCGATTTGGTGACATATCTGGTTGTTTTACTCGCGTGATCGTACTTCTTTTTTTCAACGTGTCTTTTCTCGAGTTCTCCCGCAATCTGCGTTGGTCGTACGTTTCGGACTGATTGTTTCGAGCCTTGAGTTCGTTAGCGGACGCGGCCAACTTAGTTTGCCGCATGACGGACCAACTCTGAATGCCGCTGCATGCAATTGCGCTGATGATAAAAATACTGCCCAATCGATTCGGGGACCTTCCTCGATGTGATGTGCTAGAAGCTGTCTTTATGTATACGATAAAAACCACCACTTCACTTCTCCTGGATCAATCGCATGACAGTTGCTACTTTTATTCCGTAAAGTTTACAAACTAAAACAAAAAGTTACCCCACTCAATCAGCAGTATTCAGTGAGCAGCTGCCGCCCAATGACACGAATAATGGTGCCTTCACTTAAACGTTTGTTGGAATCTCACTCATAGAAGCTATTGAATCTGCGCCTCCCGTGATCATCAGGTGTGTCCATTCTGGGCGCTTTTTGTCGTATACCAAATGATGCGAGACAGCGAAATGCTCAGCTCTGTTGCGTGGCTTCAGTGCTGGCAATGAAGCATCGTAAAACATAGAATATAAAGGGTTTAGCCAAAAAAAAAAAAAAATCTACCGAGTCCTAAAAACTGACGTACTATGGCGTTCATGACTTTTCTCTCTCTCTCTCTTTCTCTCTCTCTTTATGCCGTACTTCGCAAAATTAGGGAATGCGGGAGAACACTGTGTGGGGATTGAGTCAATTTTTTCGTGATTATTGTATCCATTTTACAACAGTAACATGTACCCGATGAAAGCAATACGAATAAATAAATTAGCGAAAGATGGGTTCACTCGCTTAATTTTCTTGAAGCATGGGGCAAGATAAAAGACAAGGATATGAATAAGGCACACTACAGCTCGCGACTAATAAAAATGCGACGTTCTATGAAGCCGCTTTAAAAAAAAAGAAGGAAAGAAACAAAAAAAAGTAGCTTCGTGGTGAACGCGGGAGACAAAGATCGGAGCGGCTTTGTTGGGTGCGTGCAGGTCGAGGTCTCCGGCAGGGCAGCCCCATCGGCGGCCTCCTCGGGCGGCGACAGTGGCCCTGGCCAGCAATGGTGGCGGCCCCTTCCGATGGGCCGGCCTGACAGCTTTAGCATCCAGCCTGTAACACCTGGTCCCGCGGCCGATAAATAACGGCATTCCGCGGGGAGCGCCGGCGCTGACCGGGTGTCCCTGGGACGGTCGGCCGTTGACAAGCCGCCACTGGGGTATTTATTGGACCACGGGCGCGTTTCCCGTATGGCACCGGCGCAGCGGGGGCCTCCGGCGTCTCCGTTTGGGCCGCATCCTCCATCGACGTGGCTCTCCGCCGACGCAGTAGCGGACACGCAAAACCACTTCGCTCAGCTGATAAGCATTGCTCTTCACCGCGAGCCCTCTCGACGTGATGGGTGCGCTCATATACATACATCCACCCACTCAAAAATCCAATTCGCCCTGCAAAAGCTGGACCCTTCGATGTCCACTTATTGTTCCGTGTGCGACATAGACTGTATGGAATTACCACGAAGGAATGAATGGAGCACACAATAGGTGAACCTTCCTGCCTCTAAAAAAAAAACGTAAGCTGCGTTCCCTTCCAATAATTCCACGCGCGAGCCACACGACACCGCAAATACGACAGTGCGGTGGCATGCGAGCCGATAAATCTAGCAGTTTTCAAAAAAAAAAAAATCAACCTTCCATCATCGGTTAACCTGACTGAAATATTTTTATGCTACGCTTGCTTGAACATCAATAGCCACTCGTAACCATTCTCGTAAACAATGACAAAATAAGTTATCGTTTATTAAACAACCACACATAGCTAAGAAGCGGCGGTTGCTTGTTGAAATTTTGCATCATTAAGCCAGGGGTTCAACCGATAGCTCGCTTAGCCTCACTAGAATGTACGACGGTAGTAAATCACGGAAACCACTTCCAAGTCCCTAAAACATAACATTATATTCGTGCGACATTACTGCTAGTCAGTGACGCAAACTGTTGTGTTACGTTAAAATATCTAAATGCCGACGTCAATCGCTGTGGCGCACTTTTCATTCGGACTGAGCACTTACACTAAGAGCTCATGCCTGCGAGGGCACTGTTAAGGTGAAGAAACGATTCAGGTCTTCGAGCTCGAACAGGCATGAACGTCGTTCTGATGCGCAAGAGCAGTACATACAAGAGTCCGCATACGTGCAGTGAAGGCGGTGACAGTCGAGTAGTGAGGACAACTGTTTACACCGATTCTGTCGAAGGCGGTCGTTAGCCCCGATGGATGCCCTGGCCGGTTGGTCACAACCTCTTTCACACGCGGCAGCAGGAACAAGCGTTGTGCGCACCAGCATCGCGTGTGCAACTCTTAAGGCTGCGCGCGCGGACGACGCAGTGAACCCGAAAAAGTCTCACCGGCCACCAGACTCCTCGGTCCGGCCGATCAAATCACCCCGTGGTCGTCGGGAACGTGACACCGCTAATTGGGCGCCGGCCTCCGGTGGCACCCACGGGGAACGCGGCGAAGGTCGGTTCGAAGAGTCGGACGGGTGGCTGTGTTTTCCCCGCGCGTGCATTGCGTCACCTCGCGATGCTAGAAAAGAAACTCCGATCCGGGATGTACGCGGCCGGTTTATTTTGGGCCCTGTCTAATGGCTAGCCTCCTTCTTGTGGGCTGCTGCTTTGTCTCGGGATGCCCATCTCTCTCTCTCCTCACAGCTGTCCTTTTTGTTTTTACTTTATGACGAGTCTGCAACGCGCCACGGATCACTGAGCGCGCTGACTAAGTCGCTCAGGTGCCTTGCAGGTCGGAACCGCTCGGCTGCGTGCCACAAACAGGCAGCTATGCACAATAGGCGCCGCAGCGGAACGCGTCGAATGGCGGGACACCACGGACGCGCGCATGAAGCCCCTGTAATGACTCAGGTCGTTGCTTTCGCCTTCTCTGAGGACCTCACCCAGAGCGCGATACATTACTTCACGCCGAGTATATGGTGACAGAAGACGAGAGCGTGTAAATAAGGCTCTCGTAACATTTTTTTTTCCTAAAGGGCGACAATGTTACTAATAGAAAAGCCCCCCTCCCCTCTTAAAAAAGAAAGACGCTTCGTCTTCCTTTTTCGGGGGGTGCTTAACGATTAAATAAAAACAACCGAAGCATCGATGAGCGATGACGAAAAGAACGATGAGCGCGTAGGCAGGCCCAAGTTTAGTATATTGTCTAATTGCTAACCTTTTATCTTTTCTGCATTTATTGCTTGTTCCGAAAGCCGTATAATAGGCTGTATTCATAAGCGAATTCTTCGTCCGACATGCGTGCGCCGAGAGGGGGGGGGGGGGGGGACCGCCTTTTTGCATAGATAAAACGTGCGCTGTTACTACACAGGGGCGTATACACACTCACTCGATTCTTTTTCCCGCGTGGCGAGACCGGATTGTATGACAGCGGAGAAAGAACAAGAAAAAGCAGAGCCCGGCTGCAGTAAAGGAGCGGCTCGTTTAGGGCGCCGTGACGATCGAGAGAACGATTGGAGCCATAGATCTTAGGCGGCCAGCGAGACGGGCCGTTACCGGAGGCTCGGCCGCCGTAGCGCGCAGTTTCGAAGCGCTGCTGCTGCAATTAGGCACAACGGGAGCAGCACCGCACGGCCTTCGCGCCCCGACGTTGGTTGACCGCTCGGCTGCAGCTCGTTGTTTCTCTCGCGTCAGCGTGGCTATCGGCGCGAGATCTCGGGTGCACGAGGCCCCGCCTGCAGTTCGCGTCTCGCCCAAGCACATACCTGGCGTGTCCCTGCATCTCTTGCGTCCTGGAACGCTACGTGTTTCCTCTGCCCGAGCCTGAATCAAGTGCCACGTTTCTATGCACTGCTCGTCTCCAGTTTTGTTGATACACTCGTGGTACGTCATGTGGGAAGTATACATCAGCAAGAAAGAAACGACCAGGAAAGAAAGAAATGGCGAGTCGGTATTCATACAATCGTAAAGTGCTAATCTCCCCGCGCATTTCCCCGAGAAAGTGAGCCACTGAAAGAAATCTTATCCAGACGTAACGATACAAAAAAAAAAACGCGCAGTCTATATATTTAGAGACATTCACGAGTACCGCCGTCGTAGAAAAACCATGGACAAAAGTCGCGCTAAAAACTGAGCGAAAATGTTCGATCGGAACACTGCGCTGTCCTGAAAAGAGAATCGGTTCGACAAAGATGGCGTAGCATAATGGCCAATTGCGTGGGAGCCACCGCAATGGACGTGCGTGACGCACGTCCATTGCGATTTGTGTCAGATTTTATACTTTTAAGAGCCAGGCAAAGCCCTTGTTGCGTGCCGTGTTTGTTCTTAATTGTGGTTTGGACATCGTATTGTGAAGAGTTGGCTCTGTGCACGGCGTCTGGTA